CAAGATTTTCACTAAAGAATGCAATTGGCTTTTGATTCTGCATCAGTACAGCACCTATCCCGATGCCTGATGCATCACACTCAACCTCAAAAGCTCTGATACCAAATGATGCGGAACCCAAAGATCAAAAGATATATGACGTAAATATGATAGGAAGTGACGTATGATAAAAGATAAAATTATGAAACTTACAAGGAGATTAGACCCCAAGATTAGAAGCGCAAGCAACCATGGATATATTAAATCCACAACCTCAAGAGCAATAATCAAGTAATCTAATCTATCACCTAAGATTACTTACAAGGAGAAACTATCCTTGAAGCAATCAAGACAAGTTCTTGGTAGAACTTAAGGGGAACTCTCCTAAACTCTCAAAAAGATGAATATATTTCATATAACACTCAATAATCTGATCTTACAATGAAAGAGCGATGACTATTTATAGAGTCATTTCAACCACTCTTTACCAAACTACAAGTATGAAAACAAATACTAAAATGGTCTTCAATGGTGGCTACCTGCAATCTTCAACAATGTTGGCCTTAAAAGTCCTCCAAGAAATCTTATGGTGGCCTACAAATATAGTCATATCATCTAACTACTTGCTGCACCTTTTAAATGAGTTCACAAGAACAATTCAATTCAATGTTTTCCACCAAATATGAATGATTGAATCTCTTGTATTGGAAATCTCGGCAGATTGGTGCAGTCTTGGTAGAAAGTCCATAATTTTGTCTAGGAGTGTTGAAATTGCATTCTTGATTCTCTGAAAAGAAGACATATGAGGCTACACGTTTGGTAAGTTTCACAGCTAAATTCATTGTATTCTATTCCACAACTAATTTTGAAGTGGACTAGTGTGATTCTGTCCAGATTTGTATAACTGTAGCTTATATGGCCATAACTTGATGTAGGAAGCTCCAAATTAAGAACGGTTTGGCTCATTAGAATCTAGACTTCAATATCTTTAATCATGATGAATTTTGTAGCACAATTTGATCTACACTTGAACAGATTAATATTTGAAGTTGGGTCATTATTCAAACAGTTTTTGTGAATGTTGGATAGCATTAAATATCACTTCTTTGCTCCAATTCTCCCAAAGTATTCACCAAATGTTGCATGCCTACAAAAATAAAAACACACTCAAAGTAATATATTCTAAAAATAAAGTATTACAAAATATATTATTAAGAGAGATGCAAAAGAGTTAATCACAAGTTAGTTCATCACCATTTACTCATGAGTATCTCCATTTTGGATCACTTGAGATACGTGTATAAATTTTGGATTCTCATCCACACCTATGACTTCTGATCTCATGTCAAGTAGCTTATTTACCAACCATGCATTACTTCTTGAGCTTTTCTAGCTTTAGCTCTTGTGACTGGTCCAGATGGTAATATAGATCCTTGATTGCAATTTCATCGAGCGTGCTCGTATCATTCTCCCGGCCTTCAAAAGAATTCGTCCTCGAATCTTCACCTACATCAAAGGGAGAAAGATCAGAGATATTAAAAGTCGTACTTACTTGATACTTACCTGGCAAGTCGATTTTATATGCATTATCATTGATTCTTTCCAAGACTTGGAATGGTCCATCTCCACGTGGATGCAACTTGGTCTTTCTTTTAGTTGGAAATCTTTCTTTTCTCATGTGTACCCAATCCCAATCTCCGGTTTGAAAGGTCACACGTTTTCTTCCTTTGTTAGCTTTCGATGCATACTGTCCATTTTTTTCGTGGATTTTCTTCATCATCTCAGCCTTCCTGTTACCATCTAAGCTAACCAACTCTTTTACAGGTAAAGGAACCAAATCTAATGGTGTCAAAGGATTAAAACCATACACAACTTCAAACGGAGAAAAGCCTGTAGAAGAATGCACTGTTCTATTATACGGAAATTCAACAAGAGGTATACAATCTTCCCAACGTTTCAAGTTCCTTGTAATCACAGCACGCAGTAAAGAACCTAACATTTTATTAACCACTTCTGTTTGACCATCAGTTTGGGGATGACAAGAAGTAGAAAATAATAATTTAGTTCCCAACTTATCCCACGAAACCCTTCAAAAATGGCTAAGAAACTTTGCATCTCTATCGCTCACAATAGTTTTAGGAATGCCATGCAACCTAACAACATCCCTAAAAAACAAAGTAGAAACATGAGTAGCATCATCAGTTTTGTGACATGGTATGAAATGAGCTATTTTAGAGAATTTGTCAACAACAACAAATATACTATCCATCCCCCTTTTTGACCTAGGTAGTCCTAACACGAAGTCCATAGACAAATCAACCCAAGGTCCACTAGGTACAGGTAAAGGTGTGTACAACCCATGAGGCAAAAGTTTGGACTTTGCTTGTATTGAATCACGTAAGGAAGTGTTTCTATAAATTCAACCCACTTGGCATGCCTTCGGTTGAGCTTTCCTTGGCCTTTCAAATGCTTCAAAGATTCATGGTCTGTCCGAAGAACGAACTCCTTAGGCCAAAGCTAGTGTTGCCAGGTCTCCAACGACCTCACCAGTGCATAAAACTCCTTATCATATGTTGAATAATTCAATGTAGCTCCTCCAAGCTTTTCACTAAAGAATGCAATTGGCTTTTGATTCTGCATCAGTACAACACCTATCCCGATTCCTGATGCATCACACTCAACCTCAAAAGCTTTGTCAAAATCTGGCAATTGCAATATTGGAGCAGAACAAAGTTTTTCTTTCAACAAATTAAAGGCATTCTCTTGTTCCTTTCTCCACGTAAAACCCCGATCCTTCTTTATGACCTCAGTCAGTGGTGCTGCAATAGAGCTAAAGTCCCTAACAAACCTTCGATAGAAACTAACTAAACCATGAAAACTTCGCACTTCGGTCACAGATTTTGGCGTTGGCCAATCCTTGATAGCCTTCACCTTTTCCTCGTTTACCTCAATCCCTTTACTACTGACAACAAACCCAAGTAAGATTACCTTATCCATACAAAATGTGCACTTTTTCAAGTTAGCATACAATCTTTCTTTTCTAAGCACNGTTCTTTTCTAAGCACTTCCAAAACACACAAAATGTGCACTTTTTCAAGTTAGCATACAATCTTTCTTTTCTAAGCACTTCCAAAACACATTTTAAATGCTTTACATGTTCATCAAGACACTTGCTATGAATAAGGATGTCATCAAAATAAACCACAACAAACTTTCCAATATAAGCACGTAAAACATGATTCATTAAACGCATGAAAGTGCTAGGTGCATTAGTTAATCCAAAATGCATCACCATCCATTCATACAAAACATGTTTAGTTTTGAATGCAGTCTTCCATTCGTCACCAAGTTTCATACGAATTTGGTGATATCCACTTTTAAGATCAATTTTAGAGAATATGCATGAACTCTGTAATTCATCAAGCATATCATCTAGTCTAGGTATGGGATGACGATACTTTACCGTTATCTTGTTAACGACGCGACAATCAACACACATTCGCCAAGTTCCATCCTTCTTTGGCACTAAAAGCACTGGCACTACACATGGACTCATACTTTCACAGATGTATCCCTTTGCTAAAAACTCCTCTACTTGCCTTTGCAACTCTTTTGTCTCCTCGGGGTTGCTTCGATAAGCTGGCCTATTTGGAATAGACGCTCCCGGGATGAGATCAATTTGATGTTCAATTCCTCGAATTGGTGGCAATCCATTTGGAACATCCTCAGGAATGATATCCTTAAATTCCTACAAAAGAGAAAAAGCAACACTAGGTAAAGGAATGGTTAGTTCATTAGCGCTCAAATAAGATCCCTTATACAAAAGAACCACAAGGTGTGACCTAGATTTGTAAGCACTTATACGCTCTCTGGATTTTGCATATATGCTTATTTTTTCTCTTTTACCTCATCTTCTTTTTCCTCACAAATGTTTTTCATTTTCTCTTCCCTCTTTTTTTCTTGCTCATTGGGTCTCTCAATATACACAAAATCATCTTTTCTTTCTCACTCATTTATTTTTTTCTCTTCTTTTTTCTTATGTTTTTTTTTCTTTTTCCTTATTCCCATGAGAATGTCTCAACTTCATTTGATCTTCAAAAACTTGCTTCGGTTTTAAAGGTGAAAGTGTCACCTTCCTTCCATTTCCTATCAAACTGCCATGGTTGGCCTGTTAAGAACTCACATACCCAGAAGATGAGAGTAACAGAAATGAGGATACTGAGGTGGATGTGCGGGCACACTAGGATGGATAAGATTAGGAATGATGATATTCGGGAGAAGGTGCAAGTGGCTCCCATTGATGACAAGATGCGGGAAGCGAGGCTCAAATGGTTCGGGCATGTTCAGAGGAGAAGTCCAGATGCTCCAGTAAGGAGGTACGAGCGGCTAGTTGTGGAGGGGACGAGAAGAGGTAGAGGGCGGCCTAAGAAGTATTGGGGAGAGGTGATCAGACATGATATGGCGAGACTCCAAATTTCCGAGGACATGACACTTGATAGGAAGTTGTGGAGGTCGAGTATTAAGGTTGTAGGTTAGGAGGTAGTTGAGTCTTGCCTTACTTATACCTTTGCGAGACTAGTCTGGCAGAGTTTTTACCTAAGATAGCTAGTGCCATTGTTGTGTCTTACTATTTCAGTGCATGACGTATTTAATAGCTATCGCTTTACTTTGCATTTTTCTTCTGGATTTCATATTCATATTTTTTCTTATTATTTCTGTGGTGATACTAATATTCTCTGTTTTTGTCCTTTTGTTCTCTTGAGCCGAGGGTCTTTCGGAAACAGCCTCTCTACCCCTTCGGGGTAAGGGTAAGGTCTGCGTACACACTACCCTCCCCAGACCCCATTAGTGGGATTTCACTTCGTTGTTGTTGTTGTCTGTGTAAGAAGATTTTTTCCCTATGTTTTTCTGCAAATCTGTTCAGACTTCAGATACAAGGGCTGGATTTCAGTAAATTATCATGCTGTGAGATTATTTGATCACAATGCCAATATTTTCAATTTGTCGTGAAATTTTTGCAGGCTACCCTTCAGACTGCATATCTTGTGGCTCATGAGCCTGACGATGACAATATTCTAAGAACCCGAACTTATGATATCAGCATCACGTAAGGCAACTCATTCATTAGCTTAGTCATTCTTGTGCTTCCAATTTAATATAAGTGCTTATTTTTGTGGGCCTAATTTAGATGTCTCATCTGGATTAAGGAAGTGTTATCAGATGGTTACTTTTTACAGGTATGATAAGTATTATCAAACCCCTCGTGTGTGGCTCACTGGATATGATGAGGTCAGTCATAATAAACTGATGTTATTTTAATTAATTGTTGGTTTTCATACTACAACAACAGCTATCATTCTCAAAAAAAAAAAAAAAATTTATTCTCAAAAAAAACAACAGCTATGCCTCAATCTCAAATTAGCTGGATCAGCTATATGAACTCTCGATATCTTCTCATTTCATTCCTGTGCTCAACAATCTTTTTAAGATAAATTTGCACATATATAAAAAAACAGACAAATTAGTGGTTCCTAGAATAGAAAGTCCCATGAGTTTCCTTTCTTTTTTTATATCACTATGTATATGCTTGATGTACTCAGATTTTCCTCCCATTGTTTTTTCTCCATTATTTATCATTAATTTCAGAAACAAATGCAAAAGCATGATTTAATCTAACTGAAATCTGCTTAGATTATGTAAAATATAACCTATGTCCATTTCTCTGCAGATTTTTCTATTTCAAAATGATTGTTTATCCTGATTTTTGCAATTCACAAAAGAAGTTAAAAATTTACAGCAATATCTAATGCAGCGTATTAGATTATCTAATTCATCTTACCCATCTTACCCTCCCAAGACCCCACTTGAGAATTCACTGGGTTTTTTGTTGTTGTTGTTGTAATATCTAATGCAGTGTATCATCTTTGAGTTTACTGGTTCTGATAAACTGAATTTACTGGAGTTCCTGAAATCCGACCTTCCATCTTTATTTTATTTTTATCATGCCGTGCTTATATTTCTTTTATCTGCAGAACTGTGCAGCGTTCTTTTGCGACGAAATATAGGTTACCTATCTTAATGATTGATTTCTTTTGCCTATTTACGGATACTGCTTGAAGCACTGTATTCATACTTAACAATTCAGCTAACACTGAATCAGTGTGGTTCCCTTATTGAAAGTCACATAAGTTATATTCTGGTCTTTCAAAACATCATTATACAGGCGATAATGTATGTTCCTCTGGAGGAAATAAGATTCCCTTTCTTAGGCATGCATCACGGTCCTCTCTGCAGAACTTTATAATTGTTTGAAAACTGATCAACTATGAAAACTTTTGGGCCTTTGGAATTTCACGAGGCCTAAGTTTTTGTTTGGCACATAGTAAATGAGTGCTGCTCTTGTTTTTTTTATGGCAGTCAAGGATGCTTCTGCAACCAGAACTTGTACTTGAAGATGTCAGTCAAGACCATGCACGTAAAACGGTGAGCAACATGTTTTAGGTCTGGATGTTATTTATGGACAAGCTTCAGTTAAATTTGTGAGACATTAGCTCTTTTCTTTCTTTAAAGCTACTGCTGTTGAGTTAGAGACTCACAGCAATACAAGCAGGTGCATTGTTGCTTGAATCTAGTTCCATTACAATTTCTGATCAAGTTGGAAAAATTGTGTTGTTTCCTGGCGGAGTCTGGTTTAAGCGCGTGTATTTTACCCTTATTTCTTTTTTAAGTTCTTATGCATTTTGTGAGTTTGTCTAGGTATTTTTGCCTTTAAGAAAAAGTCTCTGAATTCCTCATTGGGAAGTCTGTCACTTTACTTTTAGTTGTTGGTTGTCAATATTGGTATACAGGTAACCATTGAAGACCATCCACATCTACCAGGAAAACATGCTTCGGTACATCCATGTCGACATGGGGCTGTCATGAAAAAGATCATTGATGTTCTGATGTCACGGGGAGTTGAACCAGAAGTTGACAAGTACAGTAAATTCTAACTTTAGTTCATTTACCTATGTTTTTCAGCCAGTAATAGACTTGCTCACATAATATGCATGGTACAAAATGATCTAATTTGGTCACTGGAAGATCAATTGTACACAACATATGTGAATACATACAAATGCTTGTGCACGTCATGGCATCTATGTATAGCATGCATATGCAATACTAGTTATGTTAGTCATTACACACGGAAACGCTCTTTGATCTGTAGCTATTAACCACCTGGGGGTTTTAGCTTAAATTTTGCCATTAGCTTTTTCACGTGCAGTGATGGTTTCCCTCATGAAGTTTAGGAATCAATTGTGTCTTTGCTAGAAGCTATTTGGCAACCTTGCATCATGTTCTCGGATTCTTCTTCATATCTCATTGGGGACTCCTGGAAGGGATCATGCAGCTGCAGGAGCATCTTGTAGCCACAATAGTCTTAGACATGCTGTTTCATTTGAATAAATTGGACACATACAAATCTCCAGCCCCATTAGATTTTTCTTTTGAAAAGTAAAACATTATTATAAAAGAAATTCATTTTACTAGATTAAAAGTAATTCATTTGAATTTTTTGTATATTTGCATGAGGTTTCATGATAAAAGTTTTTATCTCTTCTCTGGAACATTGATCTGAAGCACCCCGATTGACAGGTACCTTTTCCTATTCTTGAAATTTATGGCTTCCGTCATTCCGACAATTGAATATGATTACACCATGGACTTTGATCTTGGTAGCAGCAGCACCTGAATTAAGAGGTAAACTTCCTTATTTGACGTCTATAGTTCTGTGAGTTATTTCAAGCTTATACTATAGGCTAACCATAAATCAGAAATGACCTCCATTAGATAAGTTTTTAGGTTACCTTGTAAGGCTTTTGATGAAGGGGGACCTTGGCGTAATTGGTAAAGTTGCTGCCATGTGACTAGGAGGTCACGGGTTCAAGCCGTGGAAACAACCTCTTGCAGGGTAAGGCTGCGTACACAGACCTTTGTGGTCCGGCCCTTCCCCAGACCCTGCGCATAGCGGGAGCTTAGTACACCGGACTTCCCTTTTTTTTGTAAGGCTTTTGATGTCGATGGGATTTTTTGCTGTTTGCTGTACCCAAAAAGAGGTTTCCTGCTTTGGCTTGTGTCTGCATTCTAAAGCTAGGGGCAAAAAAGACCCCAAGTGAAGTGTCTGCTGAAAATTGTATGCTTTATCATTTTCAGATACTAAGAGTGAATGGGGCATGGTGTCATTTTTTTTTATTTTTTTTTCCGGGGTTTTCAATATTTTGGTATGGTGATGATTTTGAATGTTCCTGCTTCAAGCTCTTTCCTTTTCCCCACCTCTTTTCAGATGAATATGTGTCATGCCGGAGACCCTAGCGATGATGCGTCTTTTCATTTCATCCAACCTGTGATCAGTGTTGCTTGTACAGTTTGTACATAGCATTATTAGCTCTAATTCTGAAATATGTGGTGCATATGCTTATCAGCAGCTTCTTGTTTATTTTACATTTAGTAAGACGAATTTGATCTTAATTCTGAATGTAAATTTGCACGATTAACTTAAAGGTTGAAACTTTTTATTAGTTTTTATTAAGGTAACTGAACGATAACAACAGAAGTGGTGATTAACTGAAATTGCTCTAAAAGGAACGGTCTCTGTTTCCCTACATCGATTCTTTTTCTATTTCCCCCCTTTTTTTGGTACTTACGGGTCGTTTGGTAGGATGCATTAGATAAAATAATGCATGCATTAGCTTTGTGTATTAATAATACATTGTTTGGTACACATTTTGAACCTATGCATTAGTTATGCAAGCATTAGATATACATCCTATTTGGTATTATCCTATGCATAACTAATGCATAAAAAACAATGGTATTAGCAATGCAATGAGTTTTAATACATGCATTAGCTTAGTTAAAGATAAAATTGTCCTTCAAAATTTATGTTTGATTAAAATATGCTAGTTAGTATATTAATGCAAGTTCAAAATAATTCAAATAGTGAGAAATAAAATTATCCCTAGTTAATAAATAAATACTTAGCATATTTTCTTTTTTATAAATAAATATTAAATTTATTTTACAATATAGGTAGACAAATCAAATAATTTTTTGTAAACTTTTTCATATAAAAATATTTCTCAACATAAATTTCTTTTAAAAAGTTAGTGTGAACTAGTTTTGAGGGCATTTTTGTAAACAAACAATTCTTTTAGAAATTGTGCAATGCTTTGATACATCAAACCAAACAATGGATAAGAAATATGTCAGCATAACTAATACCAATATAACTAATGCAAGCATAATTAATACCAGCATTACTAATACACCCTATTCAACATTATTCTTATGCACCTCTGCGTAAAGTTTAGATGAGGAGAAGTTACATTAAATAACAGTGGTCAGGGCATTCTACTAACCAAATAAAGGACTGACATTGTCACCAACTCACCGTCATCACCAGCAATAATAGAACCTAAAATCGTTTGGACTTTTTTTAATAAAAAGTTCTCGAAATTTTTTCATAGAAGTTTAGCCATGCTTAAATGTAAATACACATGAAAATCAATCAACAAATATACTCCGGAGAACAAGACAAGAATCCAAATTGATGTTTTTGCTTTAAAAATAATAATAATAATAATATTTCGGACCAAGTATTCGAAACAGCACATTTCTTTGGATTATTTCCCAAAATCTTCTTTTTTTCAAGATGTAATTTTTCAATCCATGAGCTTCCACAATCTGTTTTCTTCTTTATTATATGCTTCAACTGTTAAGCATACAAGCATTATACACCGATATAGCTGATTCATACACTTATTTCTTTTCATGTATATTTTTTCTCTGTAATTCTGTTCTGGAAAACTCAATTATCCCTTCCATCAGGGGAAAATATCTCTGATTCAATATGAGGGTGATATCAGTTGATATTCGTAATCAATTTTTATTATAAAAAAGAATAGAATAATTAGCATGATAACAGTGTCGATCTTAGATGCCTGTCGTGGTGCTCGTTCTTATCCCCTCATACGTGAATCATCATCCATTCTTAAATATTTTATGTTCAGATTGAGTAGGTGAACAATTAAACAGTTTTTAAGCAGAGGCGGATCCAGGATTTAAATTCTATGAGTTTAATTTTTAAGATTTTTAACATTGAACTCATTATATATTTAAAGTTATGGGTTTAAATCTATTATTTTTGCAATTTTAATGAATTTTTACACATAAATTTTTACTCCGTGTCGAAAGTTATGGGTCCAATTAAATCCGTAACTCTCACACTGAATCCGCCTCTGTTTTTAGGTATGGTCGAAATAAATCTGCCAATGCCCATGTGTGACAGCAAATACTAGAAAATTTGCCAATTTGATGAATAATTATCATTTAATGCCTCTCGTGGCATATCTTTAAACCTGCAGTAGAGACGAGGCCTTCCCGAAATAGCCTAATTTTCAGAAAGTAATGTAGACATTAGATTATACACCCTTATATATTTACTGGTTATTAATTATTATTGTCGTTACTCATTATGTGTATTTATTATTTTAGGGCTCTGGTCCCATTAGCTTTTTTTTTCTTAACAAATACAATATCCAGTTCTGCGCTCCACGTTCCCAACAAATAGATTAAAGAAAATAATTTATCTCAAATGGGAAAACAAAAGGCAGATATAGGTTACCGATGAACCCGGAGAAAAAGAAAACCAATGAACTGTTCACGAACTGGTAAAATAGTAATGATCTTCTGAATAAGAAATGTGAATTTAATTGTTGAAATTGGAGAGTAGCTTGAATATCTGAAGTCAATGAAAAGAGCAAAATAAAAATATTAGAGAAAGATAGAGAAGAGTGGATTCCGGATCGAGAATTTACATATAGTATTTTCTTTTTAATAAAAGAAATGATATGAATAAAAAAAAGAAGAGAAAAGCAATTTAACTTTATTTCAAAAGTTGTTGTTACACAAATATCAATCAATATTGAGTAACTTTTGTTAGCCGATATATATATAATTCATCCATTAGGTTATTGAGTTAATTAATGAAAGGGGGTGTGGTGGGCCTAGTGACTTTTTCGCACAGCAAATCAGTAATGACGCGGCCCCGTATTTCCTATATAATGAAGGGTGCTATTTTTATTTTAATTAGACGAAGCCAAGTTTGGGAAAATCTCAAAAGAAAGAAAGAAATGATGACGAATCGCCACTTCCTCTTTGCTGTTGTTTTCACTTTCTTTCTTTCAGCTGTTGCTGCAGATTCTTCTGTAAGCCCTTTATATATTTCTTGATTTCACTATACTTGAATCTTTTAGCTTTATTCCAGCTGAAATCTTAAAGATCAATTGATCCAACTTTAGGATTGAGTTTCATTAATTTTGGTGGTACGATATGTTGACTCTAATACTTACTGTTGCTTCTTGTTTCTTTACATAACCGTCAAACTCTACTATGATTACAGATCATATGTTGCTTTTGTAATTATTAATTTATTGCATAATCCAGATTCCAGTATAATGTGACTGTGCTTTTATATATGATATATGATTATGTCCCTTTTTGCTTGCCTTGCTCTTCATTTTTAGATCAACACACTCGTATAACTTTTTGAACCAGTATCTATTTACCTGTTTTCCCTGCTTCTTTTCATTCTATAGTGAAGCATATGCTTGAGATCTGAATCTGTACATTCATAAACACCATCCTGTAAAGCTAGTCTTTTTATTAACTGTCATAGTCATAGAGGAAAATGTTAAAATTTATAATTGAATTGTTAGTTTGACAAAGGAACATCACATCAAAGTTTAGTAGTAGTATTTGATTAGCTTGACGGATTTCATTCTTAGAAAAGTTGGATATAAATACAATGGTTTTGAGACATTTAAAATGTTCCAAGAAAAGGAGGAACGAGAAATTTTAGTACATTATTTACTCCTCCTGGTCAATTGCAGCTTTCTATGCCATGACTTTATGGTTACGTTTGTGATAACTATAAGTTCAAAATTTTATGCATTAACGATACAAAAAAGACCGTGCACAATCAGGTAATTTATAAGATAGTTATAGGTAGCTTTTTATGATAAAACGTTACTCCCTCCGATTCACAATAAGTGACCAATTTACTTTTTCATTTTGGTTCAAAATAAGTGTCCAGTTATGTAATCAAGAAAGAATTCAATTTGTTTTTACAACATATTCCTAAAAAGTTTTCTTACTCCTCACATTAAATGTTTAATTAGGGGTAGTTTAGTCATAGTAGGTATTTTTGTATATAATTTAGTATTTTCTTAATGGGCGTGCTAAAAGCAAATTGGACACTTATTGTGAACCGGAGGGAGTAACTGATTACCAAATAAAAATGGTGACTGACCTGGAATAACAAATTAACTACGCTGCTAGTGTAAAAAAATCTTTATACTTTCGGTGTTTATTATTCTTAAACTTTCGCAATTTTTGGAAGATGATGTCTTATGGATATTTTGGTGATGCAGGAAGAGTGTGTATACACATTGTATGTTAAAACTGGATCAATCATAAAGGGTGGAACAGACTCCAAAATCAGCGTTACACTTGGCGATGCTAAAGGAAAATCAGTATATATTCCAGATCTAGAAAAGTGGGGTTTAATGGGCCCAAATTATGATTACTACGAAAGGGGTAATGTGGACATCTTCACTGGTAGAGGCCAATGTTTGAGCCCACCAATTTGCAGGCTTAATGTTACTTCTGATGGATCAGGTGACCACCACGGTTGGTTTCTTGATTTTGTTGAGACTACTTTTACTGGGCCACACAAAACTTGTAGCCAATCCATATTCTATGTCGAACAATGGTTGGCTTCTGATGCTCCTCCCTATGAGTTATCAGTTTCTCTTGATGGTTGTAAAAAGAAGACTGGGCTTCGACAACATGCTCGGCGTTTTGTTGTGTGAAAGCCCAATGAGATGATTTTGATGTGTACGCGTTGTCCTGTGTTGAAATAAATTTCTTGTTTGTTTAGTTGTCATATCTTTTGACTTATTGGCTCTTTGGCAATTGCAATCTTTTATGTACGGGTTTTAAAACTCTCTTAAGAATTAACCCAAATAACCGTCTGTGCAACCACTTAAACTAAGAATAGCTAGTAAAAGTATAATATATGCATAATTTATGTGTTATATGTGTATAATTATGTATAGTCAATGTATAAACTATATATCGCTAGAAAAAATAAATAATAAATATGGCTCGCAATTTATGTAAAAATCCCAAAAATTAACGTAGCATAAGCCTATAGCTATGGTGGAGCCATGATTTTCTTAAAGGGGTGTTAAAATATAAAGAAGTAAACACACGAATAAATTTAAAAAATACAATTCTATGAATGAAAACACAACGTAATTACATTATCAGAATTGTACTCAACGAAGTTTCAGTTTTTGAAATATTTTCACAATAGCATTTTTTTTCTGCACAAGGTAATATGCTATCGCTCAAAAATTCGTCGTTGATTCGAGTTCGTACTGATAAAGTTCGTTGTTGAAAAGACTCTTTCGATGAATGTTTTTGTCCTATCTATTTATGCTCAATTAGTTTATATTCTTATGTATATTTGTTAGTATTCTAAAAAGAGACAAAATATCTTTTGTTGGACAAATTATTGAATTGCAAAGAAGGTAAGTTCTTATCAACCCGAGTGATAGAAGAAATGTGTTTATAACAGAAGAAATGATGAAGCTGCTGCAGACTCTAATGGATAAAAGACAGTCTTTATAATTTATGCTTGACATTTGTGTGTCTTGTGGATCTATAAGATATTAGCTCGAAATTTCTCCTCAAAATCTTTTGCACTATAAGTCTTTTGTTTTAATATTTTATAATTTTTTACTTAGCTTCTTTATAGTCGTTAAAAAATTAGCCGTTGCTAACTTTAAAAACTAGCCATTACAAAACTATTAAAAAAATAGTTGTTGGTAACTTTAAAAGAATAGTCTTTGCCAACTTAAATTAATAAATTATTTTTTTAAAATCACTTATGACCTATGTACCGTCCCATCCCGCTGTTAGTTAGTAGGACGGACGGGACTAACGAGTCGCCCGGCCTGGGTAAGGCCCAACCCCTTTTATTCGATTAAGTTTACGTCACGTCCTATTCCGTTCTGGTAAAATCGTCCCGTTCCGTTCCATTGGACACTCATAGTTAGGCTTAACATATTTTCAATTGGAATTTTTATATTCCTATGCCATATAGGAAACTATATTACCCTCAATATTTAAGGTTTGATATAATTACATTTAGTATACCTAATTACCAATTATATACCATAAGGTGTTTTAACTGTACATTAATTGTACCTTATATCACTCCTAAATTTATAGTACCGTATTCCTCCAAATCCCCACCCCCCACGTTTCTCTCTCCCAACCCCACAACCTCACCCATGTATCACCATACACCCACATTTCAAACCATTATTCCCTCTGTTAAAACCAGAAAAACAATTGAAACTCTCTATCATTACCGTCCAAAATCAAGGTTTTTTCTTCTACAACCAGTCAAAATTGAAGCCAAATCTTCAAAGCTCATACACAACAATAACTTTTGATGGTTATGATTTCGGGTTCCTTCAGTGATATAAGAGGGAAGGAAAAGATTTTCTTTCTACTTGTATATTTTCTTTAGGACTAAATAAGATAATTAGGGGTTAAGGGATTGGGCTACTGTATTTTAATTGAAATTAAGCCAAAACTGGCCCAAAATCAGAAGCCCAAAGAGCAACAGATCCGATCCAAATGGTGCTGTCAGTGGAGGGTCCGAACGACGTGGTTTTATATCGAAACTACGTCGTTTTGGTTAAATATTCAAGATCAGATCCTGGCCACATACTTCCTCTGATCCAACAGTGCAAACTCGATCTCATATGACGTATATAAAGCTCTAATAATCGGATTTTTGACCTCATTTTCACATAGCACAAACCCTAGCCCCCTCTCTTCTCTCCCACTCCTCCTATGCCGCCGTCGCCGCCCCTCTCCATGGCGGCACCACCGCCTGCCGCCGTCCAAAACACCCAAAACTTCACCCAATCTCACTCTCTTCACCCTCTACCTGAATCCAAACTCCATATCTCTCAAATCTCTCTCAATCCTCTCAAGTCTACCCCAAAACCGAACCCTAGCCGCCGCCTATTTTCCCGAATTAGAAGAACTCCGGCCATCCCTGCACTTTAATTCTTTCATCACCGGATAGATGTCTTAAAGATCTATCAATCCCCCCTTGGTTTCACGGCCAAACTCCGGCGACCGTCACTGCCATACCACCATTACTACTTGAAATTGCCTTCTTTTTGAGCCATTAAGCTTGAGACGCTGTGCGCTCTTCAATGCGTTGGTTAATTTTTGTTACATCGATTGGAGATGGCACAACATCCCAAGTTTGGTGGCTGCCCGTTTGTTATTCCGGCAAGGCGATTGATTCTCCAAGACTCGTGTATTCGGTAAACCCTATCTCTTTTTTTCTTTTTCTGATTTTTTGATTTTGTAAGTTGTATCAGGTTTAATGCTTAATTTTTTATTCATGTTTCTGTTAGTTATGTGTAAATGAATGATGATCATATAAGTTTTGAATTACCTATTAGTTCATAACTTTGAATAATATTTTAGCTTAGGTTTTGTTAAATTCTGTTTTCACAATAGTTGTGATTGTAGTCGTTCACTATTTTTAGTTTACTTGAATCAGTTTATATCAATCTAGTTTGTTTGAGTGTTGCTTTATCAATCCATAATTGGTTGAGTTTGAAGGTTTGAGTTTTGAATTCAGTTATTTATTGATAAAGTCAGAGGGTACTTGAGTGCAGGACCCATGTTTGATTGCTTTTACTATTTTAATAGCTATTTTGAGTACACTGTTCCAAACACTCTACACAGTTGGTAAAGAAACTGTCCTTTAGACATATTTTTGACCAAAAATCTGTCTATTGAACTGTTGGGACAGATTTTTTGTGGAAAATCTATCCTTTGGATAGGTTGGCAATAATAATTGAATGCCACCCTCTCCTATAAAAGGAGTTCTTTTTTCAATTGGGCATATTTTTCAGACACTCTAACACACTTAGCCATCACCTTCTACACACTAAAAAGGCGCAAAAACTTCAGAAAAGATCAACTGAACATACAAAATAGTAAGCAAATACAAAATAATAAGCTGAAAATTCTGAACTTCGTGAGTGTTTCCTAGAGTGTTAAACTTGTAAGCAAATAGAGGAATCCTAGGTGATTGCTGGAGAAGTAGCAACTGGTTTCAAATACTTTCTTGCTGGATTTTTCTGGGTTGTTTCTCGGATCATAAGTTGTTGATTTTGCTGTTGTTGCATTGCTGTTTGTTGCTGAAATTTAGTTCCTCCCTTGCTGATATTTTCTTCTTGCTATCAAGGTAATTCTCTTATAGTGCTACTGTAATTTTGAGTCAAGAATGAATGGAGACCAAGCAATTTGAGTTCTCTTCAGTTTATTCTAAGCTTTTAAAAGCACTCTGTTTGTAAGGATTTGTGTGTGAGCATATATAATAAATAGTTGCTTTGTTATTGTGACTCACTGTCACCTTTATTTATTTTTTATTTTTTTGTGAAAAATCGCCAATGAAACAGCAATGTACTGATATAGGTTCAAATGTTTAAGTTGCTGTGTCTCAGTTTTTAATATCATAAATTTCAGTTAAATGTAAAGATATTTCCATGACAAAACAACATGTTAACTTGCCTTTTCTTTCCTTGGTTTTAAACATGGAGTAAATATTGTAGGTATCAATCAGTTTTTCTTTGTGGTTACACCACAAATAAAATCTGTGGTGTAGTTATAAGAAAGTATTTTATATTTCTTTGTCTCAGCCCGTAGTTGAACTTAAATTAGGTCCTCAGCTTTATTGGTTTTGAAAAAGTTTCTATTTTCATGTAGAGCAGTTTTGATAATGAAATGACATATAGATTCATGTTACTCGTTTCAAGAGAACGGGAATCCATGGTCATACATCCAGCAAATAAAAGTATTTTCTTTTTGGGTTGATGTTTTAAATTAATTGAAATATTGTTCCACTAAAGTAAAGTAAAACTGAATCTCATGTTTGGGTCTCTATTTAAACGTTATTTAGCTGGCCAAAATTAAGCTTCGGAGAATAAAATTTGTTGTTATGATGACGGTCCGTTCTTCAAGTGCAATTCTTAAGAGTAGAGTAAGTTTTCTTATTTAAATAATGTTTTTTTCATTTCCTTATGGTTCAATCATTAGCATTAAATGATGTTCTTGAACAAAAGTTCATTTGATTTGGTTGATTTTTAAAAAAATAATAATATTAAAGCCTCAAAAGGCGATCGTTTCATGGCAGTAAGTCAATTGGTCTGGGTTTAATAATTTAGTAAAAATAAAGGCGATAAATAAAGTCCAATAATATTCGTATGTTGTCCTACCACCTTTATTTTATAAAGAGGCATTTTCTTTTCATAATAATGATGAACAATTATTTTATCATAATTTAACCCCTATAGTAATTTGTCTTAACTAAGGTAAATAGTTTCGTCTTAATTGATGTCGGGAAGACTCGCTTCAGAATAAAAACATAAATAAATGGCAAGATCGTGAGGTCGTCTTGTTCCAATTCTTTCAAATAAATAAAAGTTTTGTTATTTAATTAACTTCGAGTAAACTCTAATTTTGGATACAACGCACGAACTAAGGTTGAGGAAACTCGTCTTGGTTAGTGTAAGGTAGGGTCGGAGGTACTCGTCTTAGTTTGAGATTAATAAAGTCATCAACAATAAAAGTGGGCATAGGCAAACATAAAAATTAAATAAAGCACAGTTTATCCAAAATTAATTCAATCCGATTTTAGTCAATAAAAGCGACCGTGCTAGAACCACGGGACTCGGGGAATGCCTTACATCTTCTCCCAGGTCAACAAAATTCCTTACCCGGACTTTATTTTCGCAGACCAATAATAATAGAGTCAAACCTTCTTTTGACTAGGGATTCAAA